ACCTCCCATCCGAGCTCCTGGAGCTTCTGGCGCGTCACCAAAGACGTGTGTGGCCTGGCGTTGTCCTGATGGAACACAATTCGGCCTCTGTTGATCAAAGATAGCCTCTTCTGGATGAGTGCTGAATCCATTTATTGGCAGTAAAGGGCCGAATTGAGCGTTTGGCCCTAGGGTAGCAGCTTATAGTAGATGATTTTTTGCCAATCCCCACAAAACACACAGCAAAATCTTCCCGGCCGTCAATCCGGTCTTGGCTCACGTCTGGGCCGCTTCCCCGAGCTTTGACACGACCGTTTGCGCTCGATGTTGTTGTAAGTGACCCAATATTTATTTATTCAAAGCACATTATTTTCACAAACGATTCAGTGCTACTTCCCAATTTACTTTCTATTATTTCCAAAACGTATTTTGGACTAATTTTAAAGAGACGAAATCTACGAATAAAAACTTCTTCGTTCATTCTTTGAATATTTTCCATAATAAAAGTTATTTTTTAACCAACACCGGAATACTATTTTATTTATTATTTTACAATTTCCAGCTGTTAAATTATCTTCTGGTGAAGAGTTCATCGGAACTTAATTGACAGATGCGCCTTAACCGAATATTGTGAAAACGAATTTTTTGCTACCATCTAATCCAGGGGTTACATATGTAGGTCTTGAAACTTCAAAAAAATTCATTTTGTTTGATAGTTCTTCGTATAAAAGTACAAAGTGTCAGGAATATTTTCTCCAAGTTTCAAGTCGATCGAGACGAAACTGTAGAAATTAGCGAGTTTTATAATCCGCCGTCTTGGTTATGGCTTGACCGATGGCGACACTTTAAACACGTTTTGCTCTTAAAACCACTTTATCGAAAAGGGTAGTCAAAATTTCTCAATGACCATTGAAGCGATCTAGTTCAAATTTTCCACAATTCTTTTAGGCATGTTTTTGTAGTCCTTGAACGAAGGATTTATTTTATCTTTGTTTTCAACTCATTTTACTCATAATTTTGTGCAAAAAACTACGTTTTTCTTGTAAAAAACGCTAAAAAAATTTCGATTTGTAATTTTTTTTTGGTTCAGGTACAGGGAAAATTCAGCTACTTTAAGAAAAAAGTTGGATTTTTGATCGCAGATAAAAATTGAAAAAGTGATCATGACTACCGCGAAAGCACTTTCTTGTGGACGGTCTACTTCATGACACTGCCAACGCCTTAACTTATACTATTATTCATGCAAATTTTCATCAAATGTTGTCCACATATTGTACTTTTATATGTAAACATAATAAATTGTACACTCCATTAAGTATATTTTCAAAAAAATTAGAGAAAATAAGCTTTTTTGTTTGGCCTTTAAGACCTATGTAACCGCTTAAGTTATGATTAAGTGCTTAACCGGCTGCGTCAAATGAGGAGAAATCGATCGATTGGCACTTTCTTTTCGATGATTAGATATCAGCGCATGATAAGCGCATTCGAAAAGAAATCCACCTACAAGTTCTGCTGAAGAATGCCATTGCTCCTCGCTAATTGGCCTTCAAACTTTATCTATTGCCGTGTGGTTAGTGGCGTATTCATGCAGCTTGTTTATTTTTAAATATCTCTTTGTATTTAGAATGTCGTATGGTATAGGTCATAAAAGCAATCAATACCGATGGACATCCACACACGCACACACACACACAGACACACATACACAGGTTGTAAACACAACACAACACTGTAATCGGCCAACTAAACAGTGGCAAGAGCAAAGTACCGCAATAATCAATCGATTGCACACAAATCGATTAGACATTAAAAGTAATGATATACATACATACATATATTTTAATGCAAAATAATTAATAGTACTTTGCGCTGATCAAAACAAATATACACACTTACATATTCTACATACATATATATTTATAAGTATGGGTGCATTAGTGTGAATTTATTCTAGAAAACATACAATTAATTTCTAAAAATACACAACGTCAATAGCTGCACACACACACACATACACACATACACATTTTATTATTCACATTTGTTTGTATGTACTTTTTTTTTTAATGTAGAAATTTCTGTTTTTGAATCGATCGTAAAAAGATAAGAATCAAGCGAAAGCAAAAAAAAACGAGACTCAAAAAAATGTTGATAAGAAGAAGCTCTTTTCCGGTGAAAAAAATGTCGCTCTGAACAATTACGCATTGAATTATTTTTGGGAAATTGCATATTTTACACTTAACTCGCTTAAAGGTAAAGTTTTTTTTTCTTCTTGCATTTTAAACCCACTTAAAAGCAGTAAACAGATAAGTTGGCTTTTAATGAAAACAAAAAAAAACAACAAAAACAAAAGAAAGAGTGTTTACATGAAATAATCCTGAATAAATATTTTTACGTTTAAGTGGTGCACACTCTTAACTTGAAAACACAAATGATTTCACAACAATGTGGAAATTTTTGATTAACAAATCTCAAGTTGTTGTTATTTTAGCATGATGATGCACTAAAATGTTTAAAAAGATTTTATTTAAGCTTAAATTAATTAACCAGTATTTTTTTGCCTTATCGCACTTCTTCGGTTTAAATATTTTTTCTACACTTGGCAGATGGATTAACGGTAACAGAGAAAAAGAAATAAGAAGAGCTGCTGCATGATCATATACATTTTATGATATTTCATTTAAGTTTAAATATTAATTCTCGTTTCTGAAAAGCTGGCAGGAGGTGGCTATACGAGATAGTCCTACAATTTCGATGATTTGTATATATCGGAGTACCCATTTCGAGGTTCCCTACTTAAAAAAAAAAATAAAAAACTTGGAGAAATCATATTCTCAATTGAATTATTAATCGAAAGCATATTCTTTGGCATTTTTTTTTTTTTTGAAAATTATCTCCTTTGAACCTTGGCCGTTGCTACGTCTCAGACGGTCCATTTATTGAGCCCAATTTTCGATGACTCATTCGAGCATTCCGACTGGTAACTGGCGAATGACACGCTTGATATTTTTCTCCAAGGCCTGAATAGAAGCGGAATTGTCCGCATAGACTTTACACTTAACATATCGCCTTAGAAAAAAGTCGAACGGTGTGATATCACACGATCTTGGTGGCCAATCGACCGGACCAAAATGTGAATTTATCTCTGTTCTCTTAATAAATCCATTGATTAATGTGATGTGTGGGAAGTGGCGCTGTCATTTCAATTTCAGGCATCAAATAGCCGGTTAGCATGGCAAGATAACGGTCGCCATTGCTGGTTACATTCTCAGCGGCATAATTTTTGAAGAAATATGGACCGTAGATTCCACTGGCCTACAAACCATACCAAACCATTTTTTTCTGTGTGAAATGGCAGCTCTTTTACTCTTCAGGTTGCTTTTCGTCTCAAATGCGGAACTTTTGATTGTTCATCACTGAACAAAATTTGGCTCGAAATCGTCGGATTTTCTTGGAACTTTTCAAGAGCCCATAGAGCGAAGCGGCTTCAGTTCTTGCATAAGCCGTATTTTGTACGCTTTTAATTTAAGTTGTTCCATACGTTAGTTTGAGCTGCTGAGAACGGCGTCGAGTTGACTCTCCACGGTCTATTAGGAGTTATTTCGTCCTACCCTCCTTTTATACCAGACACGGTCTGGGGATAGCAGAATTTACGGCATGGTTCTTGAGGCCAAGATGAGATTTTTTACAATTCACCCAATTCTGATGAAGCTTTTGGCATTGCTTGGCGACAGTTTACGCTTTCGGGTAAAGAAAGAATATATCCTCAATTACGGATTTTCGTACAAAACATTTCCTCTTTGGCAGGCATGCAGAGAAAGCACCTACACTATCACACGACTACTGTAGAATTTACAGTGAAAGTGAAGAACCTGCGGTACTTAGGTAAGGTACTTACTTTGCGAAACGTTCTCACTTTGGCGTTGTAAATTCAAATATTCAAGATAGACAATCTTTAGAGTACGAAATAGCGGAAGCTAAGATACTCCAAGCATTTCTTTGAATTTCCAGTGCGGGCTCTAAAGATCCTCTGTGGCAGCAAAATGAGTTCGTTCGGGGGCCCAATCGTGCTAATGCCCAGCATGCATGTCCGCTTACATTTTTCATAGTATCTTCTTTCTGGGAGACTTCAATTGGAGGATCGAGTTGAGTGAGTCTGCTTTTAATAAAAAGCCAAATCACCATTCTCGTTTCAACAGAAAAATGAAGCGCTCTTGAAACTCTTAAATTTTCAGGCGCATGTATCCTCTCACAGCCAGCCTGCCTCTAGTTTTTTGTACTCACGCTTCTCTTATTCTGTCTGTCCGTCAATATGTCTGCTTCTCTGGCGTTTGTTTGTTCCACATGTCCATCATATTAATGAGTTTCAATGACACGTGTCTATTTTGAGAACATAACAAAATAATTTAGACAAACATAACCTCACATTTTCATTTGCTGCATAATTTAATAGAAATCTCTTTTTTTTTATTAGCGTTGCGCTTTCGTACATACTATATAAGAAAAGAAAATTAATTTTAATAACGGTATTTAGAACATATTAATATAAAGCTTTTAAGAAAAATTGTTGAAGGCATATCAAGCTGGAGGCTTCTTGCTATGAGCTCAACACTTGTGACCTTTAAATAAGATCAAATTGTAAATGTACCGTAAACTTTATAACACAAATGAGTTTATTTGTATTGCTATTTATAAGTGTGTGTGTGTATGTGTGGGGGTGTGTGAGTGTACATGAGTGGCTCTGTGTGTGTGTGTGTTCAACTCCATCAACCGTGTGAACTTTTACTTGATTACTTTTCCGTCAGTTGCTGCACACCCCGGTGTGCTGTGCACTCAGCTACGATTAGTCATCAAAAATAGACAGTTATTTACGTAATTTAGTTGTAAATATTCATTACTAATATCTCCCAAACCCAGTATTAGCGTATTTATGTATACTGCTTTGTGATAGTTATTTACCTACAAAAAGTTTCTGTGACGTTCAAACATTCTTTTCTGTTCTCTTTTTCGTATATTTCCAGGTATTAAGTGTCCAGTATGTAACAAATTTGTGTTGCCCGACGATATTGAATGCCATTTAGTTATGTGCCTCACCAAGCCGCGACTGTCATATAATGGTGAGTGTTGTAAAAATAATAATAAGAAATAAAAAAAGAAAAATAATAAAAAAGAAAAATAAAAAAAATAAAAATAAAAATAATAAAAATAAAAATAATAAAAAAAAAAATAATAAAAAATATAGATAATAAAAAAATAATTAAAGTAATAAAAAATAATAATAAAAGAAATAAAAAAAATAATAAAAGTAATAAAAAAAATAACAAAAGTAATAAAAAAAATAATAAAAGTAATAAAAAAAATAATAAAAGTAATAAAAAAATAATAAAAGTAATAAAAAAATAATAAAAGCAATAAAAAAAATAATAAAAAAAAAATAAAATAAAAAAAAAAAAAAAAAAAAAAAAAAAAAAAAAAAAAAAAAAAAAAAAAAAAAAAAAAAAAAAAAAAAAAAAAAAAAAAAAAAAAAAAAAAAAAAAAAAAAAAAAAAAAAAAAAAAAAAAAAAAAAAAAAAAAAAAAAAAAAAAAAAAAAAAAAANAAAAAAAAAAAAAAAAAAAAAAAAAAAAAAAAAAAAAAAAAAAAAAAAAAAAAAAAAAAAAAAAAAAAAAAAAAAAAAAAAACAAAAAAAAAATAAAACAAAAAAAAAATTAAAAATTAAAATAAAAATAATAAAAAAATTTGTGAAAACACAATTTAAAAATAAAAAATAGAGAAAATATAAACAAGATTATATCAGTCATTAATTGTACAAGTTAAATGTGTAGTATGTTTATTATAAAATAGTATAATTAAAATATGATAATTACGCTATCCATACTTATTACAAAAAAAAATAAATAATTATTATTCTCGTACAAATATTTTTTTTATGATTTTCCAACAACTTTAATTTATGTAAATTGAAAAAAATCACATTTTATTATACCTATTTGTTAAACAACTTTCAGTGGTAAATTATTTTATTTATTATATGAGAAATGAAAATAAATATTAAAACAATTTCTCAGCTCTAAATACGTATACACATACAATATGCATATATGTGTGTGTATGCGCTATGCACTCATTATTATTCGTTAAACATTCAAAGCAATTAAATTTAAATTCCTATAGAGAATATATTAAAGGTTATATTACCGTTCATATTGCGCCAGTATGCACTAACTTTTAAGTGTAAAAATTGGCAGGAAATCAATAAAACGTACATTCATAAATAACAAAATCAAGAAAATGCTGAGCAGGTGGATTTTAATTACGATTGTTGTGCATGAAACAGAGGCGCTCAACTAAGGAAACGATGACATCTCGTTTTCTTAACATAAATAATAAATTTACCGAAATGTTTTTGTTTCGTTTCGGCGCCATGATATCGAAACAAATCGAAATTGTTATGTTGAAAATGCATAAACTCTTCGTTAATGTTAATTTTAAAATGTCTGCTTGCTATGGTATTGACAGCACACTTCAATGGTAACGATTTAACATTAACTGTTATCGTTTAACATTATCTGTTAACGATTTATCATTATCTGTTAACTATTTAACATCATCTGTTACCGATTTAACATTATCTGTTAAGGACTGAACAACATCTGTTACCGATTTAACATTATCTGTTAAGGACTGAACAACATCTGTTACCGATTTAACATTATCTGTTACCGATTTAACATTATCTGTTAACGATTTAACATTTCATTTTTGTGGAATGGGTAGACCATATTTCAATCGTCGGGCGTATTTTGGTCCGACCATATTATGCAAAGAACCACAATCATCATGCACGTTGTATTTGAATAGCTTTGCCGGCTATTAATCGATATCTTCCAGTTTGTACTTATTCGAACTTCATCAGAGTCGTATGATGGCACGTCTATACCACCGTCATCGGGTGGGTCTTGGGGTTTGTCTTCTTCAGGTTGTTCCTTTTCACTGCCGTCAAGCAGGCTCGCGAGTGATTCCCTCCATGAACTCGGTATGATCTGAATGTCAATTAGCAGATTCCTTCTTCTGCGAATGAATATCATAGCTGCTGCAAGAAAATTTTCCGAGTCAATGCTAGGTCCACGGTGCTCGGAACGTACACACATCTAAGACATTGATAGAATTTTCGCCGTTTATCACAACACGAACTATTTTGCTATATGACTTTCTAGCTTGATTAATTTTCTTGCTCATCGTTGTCTTTTTCCGTCGCATCATGGGCGCAAATCAGCGATATGTTCAAAAATTTCGATTTTGTTCGGATTACGGCGAGACGTCCACCCAATTGGGTGAATGCCAAAATTCATAGACGGAGTCTCTCTCCCACTAACGACGCCCCGACAGCGCTACCATCCCAATAAAGGGACCCTTAAATTATGGCCTTTAAAACATTTCAATGACTCTCATCCATAGCACTGTTTCTTTTTTCATTGATTGGTTTATATGTGGCGGGTAGCGCAGCAGTAGTGCCACAATTCGTGCTCAATAGGCCAGCCAAAAATATTCTTAAACCCTTAAACCGGATATGTCGGAGTATCTCCGCTAAAGCTACCTCTCTCTTATCCGTGTCTCAGGGATATATACATATTTATGTATGTGCACACGCATATATGTATAATTATATTATATTTAATACCAATTAAAAATAAATGTTATTGTTTTTATTTATTTTTTACTTTCTTTATTTTATTATTTATTTTTATTATACCATATTTTATTCTATTTTTATTCTAATTTTTGTTTTAATTCCTTTTATTTTAATTTTTTCTATTTCATTATATTTTTTACTTTATTTTATTTTTTATTTTCTTTTATTCTATTTATTTTATTTTCTTCCATTTAATCTTATTTTATTGTACTTTTTAGTTTATCTTATATTATTATTTTATTTCTTTCAATTTAATTTTATTTTATTATGTTTGATTTTATTTTTTTAAATTTTATTTTTCACTATTTATTTATATTTTCTTTTATTTTTTATTTTCTTTCATTTAATCTTGTTTTATTCTATTTTTTATTTTATTTTATTTCCTTTAATTTATGTTTATTTAATTTCATTTTATTTTATTTATTATTTTATTTTTAGTTTAATTTAATTCTTTAGTTTACTACATTTTGGTTTTGTTTTTTATTTCATTTTCTTATATTTATTACATATTTTATTTATTCTATTTTTTAATTATTTTTTCATGAAATTTAGGATTTTTGTATTTATTATTATTTATTGCAATAATATTATAATAATATCTTTAAAATTCATTCCATTAATAACAATAAATGTTCTCATTTCATTTCTTTCAGAGGATGTGTTATCCGATGCCAAGGGTGAATGTGTAATTTGCTTAGAAGATTTAAATCCCGGTGATATTATTGCACGACTGCCGTGCTTATGTATTTATCATAAAGGGTAAACTATTTGCATTTCATGTTTAATACTCTCGCTCAAACTAACAACCGTTTCTCTCTTACAGCTGCATCGATCGATGGTTCGAGGTGAATCGATCTTGCCCTGAGCACCCAGGCGACTAGTTAAACCTCACTAAGTAAATTAGTCAATAATCTTAATATAAAAGAAATTATTACTCAAATCAACTATTATTTTTCTATTTTTCCCCCATTTTAATTATCGGTACGTCTTTATTTTTTCAATATTTTATTTTTTTTTAATTATACAGAACAATTTTTGTTTAGTAAGAGATGAATTGTAATCATAACTAAACAATTTATCGAGTAATAATGAACCTAGTGATATAATATATACATATATTCAGCAAATAATAATAATAATAATAATAATAATGATAATAATAATAGAAATTAGTTGTAAATTCTTTTTTATACTGTGACGTAAAATAGGTGAACATAATAAAATAACTTAAACTTGAAATTATTGTAATAAGAAGGAAAAAAGGAAGAAAAGGATGGAAGGTAAAAAAGCAAATAACAAACATAATAAACAATATGTTTGTATGCATAAATAAAATATACGTAAACATATATATAAACTATATTGTATGTTCGTAATTTCTGTGTGTCTTATTGTTTCTGAATATGAATATGCAATAGTTATGTTGTGATTTAAATTGTATTGTATATATATATGTATACATGAAAAGCCTCGTAGTAGTACAGACATATGTTTGAAGGGCATTAAAAAAGCATTGAGAAAGTACCAACGCAGTAATAGCAGCAACAGCAAATCAACCGGAAACTCAAAAATCAACTCAAATCAACTCAACTCAACCAAAATGCGGTCAGTATACGAAAAGCAGTCACTAAACTGCACGGCCATCTTTTGCACCATAAAACTTAACAAAAAAAAAATTTCGAACACCAACGAGAACAACGATAAAGCATGATTGATATATGGCAATAACTGGAGTTGGGGGCGGACATGTGTGTCTACAAAGTCTACAAAGAATAAAATGGTGCTGCACACTGCAGTACAGTGTGCATTAGTTATTTAATTGTGATTGTCTATATAAGTTTTGTATTTGCATACATATGTTCAACTGTTTTTTTTTTTTTTGCTCATTTCATGCTATGATTTGTATATTTGGTCTAAATAGTAAGCACATACACATACACGAAAGCGTAAAAGAGAAAAAAGAGAAAAACACTAAAAACAAATTCAAAAATTAAAAATTTATAAACTCGAAGAAAATGCAAAAATATAAATATATGCACATATAGTTTAAATAGTATAGGAAATGTTGTGAATTGTAATTGAGAAGTAAGAAATGTTTATGTTGAGCCAATAACTCCCCGCCGCAATGAGAAATTACATACAAACATTTATAAAATAAATATTATTCACAAAATGTAAGCAAATAACAAGCATACAAATGCATCATGCCATTATGTATGTGAGAAGAGAAATGGTGGGAATGCAGAAAACCGCCATGTTGGAATAGATGGGGAGATGTGTGGTGGTGGCGGTATTGGTGGCATGTGGATTGCGTTGAGCAGATGTTATTAATATGTATGTATGTAGTAGTTGAAAGCACACATTTCTCAAATGTCAATATCATTGCATAAATAGACAAATTAAGTGCAAACAAGTATAAATAAATAAAAATTATTTAAAAAAAAAATAATTAAAATAACAAATTGAAGAAAATGTGCGTATAATTTACTATTGATGAGGGTTAAATTAAGTTTAACTGTTTATACAAACGTACATGCAAGCATATAAACTATATTTACATATATACATACATATATAGTTATGTAATTTAAATTTAGACACAAACGGATGGTCACAAAATGCCCATAAGGAAGCAAATATAAAGTAAGAAACAAATTTAACAATAAAAATCATATAAACTAAAAGCAAAAATAAAAAAAGAAACCGTAACTAAAACTGAAATATAAACAGGCAAACAAGTAGACAGATTCACACACAAAAATGAGAAACACAAAAGAAAAACCATTTATTAAAGCGGGAAGTAACGAAATTATAATTAGAGCAAATTCTTGCAACGCATTTCACCGTAGTTTGATAACAAAAAATAAAAAAACAAAAAAAAAACAAATATACAGAAAGCAAAGTAGAAGAGAATCAAAAAAAGAATACAATAAAAATAACACCTTAAAAAGTATAAAAATTTAGCATGAAGTAAAGGCGTGTTGGTAAAAAAAAAACGCAAAAACAAAAGCAACCAAACGGTGGTGTGTAAGGAATCGAAAAAAAAATGTGAAAATCTTGTCAAGCAAATACCAAATCATTATTAAGCATAGCGTTTAAAATTGTACATAATTCCATACAAAAATAGCATACATTAAAAAAATACATACACCAACACATTTATATACACGGAATATGCGTACGCGTATATTAACAGTGCATAGAGAAAAGAAAAATTCGAAATAAACAAAATTAAATGAATAAAATAAAACACAACAAATTGAGAAGCAACACAGAAATGTTTGAAATTGAAAATGCAGTTAAAAAGAAAACACTTTCGAAAACAGTTAAGTATACATAAAATGCAAACCGCAATAGCATTAATGTAACAGTCTTTATGTGCTTGTACGTTACTGTATGTAAAATGTATTTGTATTTGTTTTTTACCAATATGAATTGTTGCTATAAATTATTGAAATAATAAAAATTATTATTAAAATAGAAGTAATAAGAAATCCATAATAGGGAAAAAGTGATGAAAAAAAAAATCATATATCTTTTTTTTATTCATTATTAGTTTTTGCTATTTTAATTTGAATGATTCGTTTTAAATTGTTTTAGAATTTTTCATTTTTGCTCTTGACTTTTTATATGTATAAACGTATAATTTCGACACTAATACTTATGTATGTATGTGTAATATAATATATTCCTGATTTTTTGAAGCAACAATAAGAGAAAATTATTGAAGTAAATCGATTAAGCGTTTTAAAGTATGCCAAATTTGTTTTAATTCACATGAAACTAAAACCGAATTTGTTCCACATTATGATCCACTATCTTGACGCGACAGAGGTAAGTCATATACTGTAACTATCCATCTTACATACCCACAGCCCGACTGTAATAGAATACGCGGTGTGTTCAAGAAGTATCGCGAATTTTGAATTTTCGCGGGTTACGTTGGTGCTCATGTCTGTCACTTATGCCGACAAGCTCGGCCATTTTTAATGTTCACTTAATTGTTGACAGCTGCTTTGCTTGCACGTGTTTTGGGTGGCCTTCGATTTTTACCTATTCAAAAAAATGGATCAAAGAACCTGTATCAAATTTTGTGTGAAAAACGAAATTAAGTGAACGGATGAAGCCACCTTGGACCGAAGCAACGTTTATCGGTGATACAAAATGTTCTCAGAAGGCCGAGAAGATGTGAACGACGAAGGGGGTGCCGGACACCCGGGCACTTCAACAACAGTTGTGCGCAATTTGCGCGAAGCATTCAGCCAGAAACGCGCGGATTTGCGGAAGAACAAAAATTGGCTTTTGCATCACGATAACGCCCCTGCTCACACATCGTTGCTTGTACGGGAATTTCTGGCTAAAAAACAACACACTAATAATTCCGCAGCCACCGTCTTCTCCAGATCTGGCCCCCTGTGACTTCTTTTTGTTCCCTAAACTAAAGAGGCCCATGAAAGGACGACGTTACGCTACGATTGACGAGATAAAGACGAAGGAGGAGCTGAACAAGATAAAAAAAAAATAATTTTTTGAAGTGCTTCGAAGATTGGAAAAACCGTAAATAAATAATTTTTGAAAAAACACAAAATTTGCGATATTTTTTGAAGACACCTCGTATACAAACACAAGTATTTCCGGCGGCGACAACTTTTCATTTACATGGCGCTCTCATAAGATAGGTTGCGGGAAGCAAAACGGAGACTTCTTTTAGTTAGGTTTTTAAAGTTTACCGTTTTCGAAATATAATAATATGGACAAAAATGACAAGAAAAAACCTCGTCGTTAGGAGTGGCGTTAGTGGTGGCTTCTTTCTTTACAAGAGGAAATCAATAACATTTCATTTTTAACTGACTTTTTATCAAGGACGGAAACAACGAAGAGCTTTTCCCATAAGCGCAAGATATTTAGTAAAGAGCACGTTTGGATTATTTGAAAACCTTACTAGGCACTGTGAAGGGAGCAGAAGGGTAGTAAAGAATATAAACAAAAGTTTCGAGGTAAGAGCGCAAGGTGTATGTAAGAGCTTCACGGGACATGCAATCAAAGCAAGCCATGGTCGGAAGCTACATGAGTTACGGTTTCACGATAAAGGAAAAGAGTGTTAAATGAATTCGTCATAGTGGTAAGAAGTGGTAAGTATCATACGGGATTGATTGCACGCTGGACATACGTTACTTACTTTGATTTTCTAAAGATGTAAAATTTCCGGTATAGTATATGTTATTTACTGGTGATCACCCTACTATGCTCAAAATTTGACGGTTCGAATATATATGCCACTCTGTAGTTCATGACATTTTGATTTATAAAATTTTTAATGCACCCTGTGGTAATTCAGAAATTTTAAAAATTTCCAAATTGTAGTTTATAAAATTTATTTATATTAAACATTAATAAAATTTTAACGCGTACCACAAAAGTTCAATATTTTTATGAAAATGGTCATCATGTTCAACCAAATGCTCATTTGTGGTATTTAAAACATTTAATATTCTTAAAAGAATGCCTACATTTGTTGTTGGCAATGACATACATGTGCCAAATCCTCCAATTGGAATTGGAAAAAAACAAATGTTCCTCCACGGGCAGTATTCTGTCAAATTTCTTGTTTGTTGGTTGTTAAATTATCCGCAGCGGGTTTCATTCGCCAGTCGTAAACAGATTTTCCACCAAAATATAACGTGTGGCCGAAGTTACAAAGCTCCCCGCAAAGAATGAACAACGCATTTGCATAATTTGTATAAATATCACGTATTATGGGTGTTTTTTTCTAAAGAGGACAAGTGCAATAAACATTGTGTGTGACATCCAACGCACGGGAGCAAGTGTTGTGTGTGTCGGGCGTGTTTGTGGGTGCAAAGAATTTCGAGTGCATCGAATGCATATGCATATTTTTTTTGCAAACAAAATAAAAAAGCTAAGTGCTAATTTGAGTTTTTCATTACTTCAAGTGCTCCGTGTTGATTGTTGAGTGTTTTTGTGTCGCTATGGTTTCATGTTAAATTGTTGCATCGTTGTCGGTCAATTGGAAATTGAAACCAAAACAATCCCCTCTCTGCAGGTGGTGGAGGGCGGCCACATAGATTCTGAGGGAGTGGGCAATTTGTGTTTTTGTTGCCGGTAGAATAAACGCCAAACACGCTGTAAAGGCTTAAATGGGAGGCGTAATTTGTTGAAGATACGTACAAGACGCAGTTTCAGAAATTGGGTGCAGGAAGCAAAACAAAAAAAAAAAAATATTAAGGTAAGAAAGCTGGTATTTTGTAATGCTTATTAAAAAAATATGCAAAAATGCTATTTACATTAAAACAGAAAACCTGCTTCGAACGGCGAAATACAGTCAATACCACAACGACTCTACTCTACAGCCATACTAAGTAGTAAAGAATTTATGTAGAGTAAGCAATAAAAAAATATATTCAATGTGAAGACGTGTGCCAACTGTGTGGCGATCAAGCATAGGGAAAGTCAGCGAGTCACACTGTAGATTTGTACTGGAAACAACGGAAACGGAACGATGGAAAGCCCTTGGCAGCTGTAGCGGTGGCAAACAATGCAGCTCCAAGCCGAGGTGCGGCATAACAAACGTTGGTAAATGCAAAAACACTTGCAAGTATGTTCACCTCAGCTCGGCCGCCACTCTTCTGCGATATGCAAATGTAGAGTAAAGTCAAAATGTTGGCTAAAGCGTAGGGAGCGCCAAAGTTCACGTCGTTAGGCAACCCTTTTTGTTGTGGTCGGCGGCAAATGCGGTGATTTCAATTTAGTGGCTCCGCTAACCACTTTCAGCACAAAATCTCGCTTGCATATGTGCGTAGTCAGGCACCGACTTTGTTAATAAACAAATAAAAATTGCACAGTTCTGTCACCGACATGCTGATGGGCACTCCTTTCAAAGGCAGAACGGCAGTGCTTAAATGTATTGCTTGTGCATGCGCGCTCTTCATTTCCGCAGCAACAAATGTGACATGGCAATTGTTTATTTGCTTCTTTTACCAGTTAATATTTTTTAAGTTTCCACATTCTTTATACACAAGTTAGCTGTGTTTACTTTTACTACTCTCTTGTTGTTGTATTGATCGACTACAACAAACTTTCATATTATTTACCTGAATTATTAGCATATTCGCCGATGCTGCAAAATTTTTATAAAAGAAACGCACGAAAAAACTAAATTGAAATTATAATATCGTAAGGAAGAGAGCAGAAAAGAAGAAGAAATTACCTGACAAACTACGCGCGTTTTTTCTTTCTACAATTATTATGATTTTTCTAAAGTTCAATGCCCCAATCGCGTGCTTACGTTATGCCCCATTCACAGTCGCAGGCGCAGACTTATGATTGGATATTTGTTTTTTTTTATATTTGAATTTATTGTATTTTATCGTACCTATTCGTTGGCCGGCCGCAGGCGCTAAAATCGTGATTGAGCGCATTGTTTGGTGTTCTTTCTTTACTATTTTGCACGCTAATGATTGCAAACTATGCGCTTGGGATCCAGCAATCACAACCAACCGTCATTGGGTTGATATGCCCACGGGTGAACATGTAAGCGGTGTTGGGTGCTGTGAGTTTTCTGTTTTGCCATTTTACCATTTTAGCACTGGGTCGCGTCAAGCAAAAGTTCAACAATCGATAAATTGTGACCTGTTAACGATGGCTTCTGTGCGCAATCAAGCCGGTAATGTTAATTTAAAAAAAAATTACATGATTTTTTTACCATTACATGATTTTTTTTTCATAAAATAAAGGTGGATGAGTGGTTTTAGTCTACTCTCTATTTTAAACTTTTTTGTTAATTTTTTTTTTTGGGTGTTTAAGCCGAGGATAGGGTTAATGTTAAATAAGTTTTCGGTTTAAAAACAATTTAATTAAATTTTTTAACTTCTTGTTAACTAATTATATATAAAAGATATTACATTTATTTCTCTCGGAAATTTTTGTAGCAAAGCTAAGCTTTGAAAACATATGTAAATATTTACCTACATATATACGAATATACATACAATATATTGTATATACATATGCATTCACAAATATTTGCTAATTTATTTAATACAAGCAGACATGAGAACAAGCTACATACATATACATATGTATGTATGTATGTATGTATGCATATAAAAATAAAATAATATAAATGATTGCTTTCCAGTAATTTCAAGCGCTGTTTAACAGATAAGAAAACTCATCAATTGAAAAAATGCGCACTTACACTCACACATACTCTGTTTGTCGTTTTTATTTGGTGCAAGAGTAACCAATTTTGTGACTACATAATAATAATTTCGTGCTGTAAAAATTAGCATACATATCTATTATGTCGTGATATCTTCATCAGCTTCTGATTCCAAAAAAAAAACTGTCCAGGTTGTACGGAGCAGAAGGAAGAAAGAAAGAAGAAGAGAGCTTTTACAATCATCTATACAAATTTTCTCTACTTTTATTGTTAGAGACTGGTGTGCTGTACATACAGCCTTGGCCAAAAGTATTAGTCCCGCCACTAATTACTGAATTTTTCGTTTTAACAAGTGAAGTAATGAAGTTTTATTAGTAAAACAGTGAAAATACAATGAATTAGTGATAAAAACATTAATATTTAGTAGGTCCACCCTTCGATTTAATAACGGCAGCAATTCTCTTAGGCATGTTGCGTGCGAGCTTTGCACATTCGTACGCACTTATAGCGCACCACTAGTTAATTCAGGCATCCTTTGAGGTAGTTTTTGTTGGTATACTGTTTTCCTTAATCTTGCGTTTTAAAATAGCCCACAAGTGCTCAAAGGGCTTAAGATCTGAAGACTGTGCAGGCCAACCTAACAAAACAATGTTGTTATCTCTAAACCAACGCATCGTAGTCGCCGCTGATTTGTGACAAGGAGCATTGCCTTGCTGAAATTGGACCCCGTCTAAGCTAGTATCGCCGAAAATGCAACTTAAAGACTGTCCATGCGATCCTCGCAAACGAACATTTCGCCGATACCATCAGATATTCTTTCCCAACCCGTCGCCTCACGAAGGTCACATCAGTTGTTCCAATTATCTGTAGAAAAGAGAAATAATGTTTTCATAATATTTGTATTATGTCTTCAAAATTGCTCTAGGACAAGAATCTATGGCAGTTAATACTTTAAGACGATCTCAACTAAGCTTACCTCGAAGTTTGATTCAGCAGACCACAGAACATTCCACCAATCTTCTCCCATGAAATGTTGATATCGGCGAGCCCATTTCAAACGATTTTTCCTAATCTTTTCTGAGAGCCACGGCTTTTTTTGGGGCTTTACATCCTTTTAAACCGGCTTCCAGAAGTCTTCTTCTAGTTGTACGAGCGCTAACTGGCTTACTAATTTCATCTGAAAGGGCAGCTGCAAGTGCAGAAGAAGATTTTTTGCGATCGTTGAGAGACTCGCGTATAAGTATTCGGTCTTCTCGTTTACTGGTTAGACGCTTTCTACCACTTTTTGATTTATTATTGTGGGATTTCGTCTTCACAAATCCCCATGACAGCACATTGGACCGCGCACCGCGAACATCCCTCCAAATTGGCAATCTCAACCCGAGACTTACAATACCTTCTTCACTTAGAACTTGAATTCTAACTCTATCATTGTAACTAATTTCACTTTTTTTACCACCCATATGAGACATTTACAAAACGAAGTGGTAGCTTTGATAGTCACATTTGAGTATACTTCTATTTTAGTGTGGTGTCTAATACTTTTGGCCAAGGCTGTACAGACACATACATTTGTAGGTGTTTCGTTAGTAATTTAAGCACGTCCAAAAACTTCATAAATATGCAAGATTCTTCTCTTTGTATCCCCTCAAATCTGCTTCATTTTTCAATCATACATATTTTTTCTTCTTAAATCTCAAACTACAGCTCATTGTTTCTTTTTTACACGTGCTCCAAGCGAAAGAGACGATTACGTGCTTGCACCTAATAAAAACTCAATATTTAAGCAGTATCGCTCGTCGCATTCTAATATTCAAAACGGTCCAAGTAAATTATTTTGAAACAAATGTCCAAATACGATTTTCTTTCAAATTGTGAATTTGTCCGTCCCTGGTCCACTTCCCAGAAAGAAGACTAGTCCTTCTGCTTAACTATGTTGAAAGGAAACTATGTTCCGTATTTCCAAGTACTTTCCAGAAAGAAGATTGGTCTTCCTGTGCTAATCTATGTTAAAAGCCTGCTATGTACCGAATTTCATGTATGAAAGTCGAATCATAAACGCGTTTTCTTTCGATTAATTGGGTCTCTAGCTCAGATTCTAGAAAGAAGAGTAGCGGAAATTCCCCCGAATTCCAACTGTAGCCAAGGATCTAACATGAAATTGGTATGCCAAGCCGATGCCGGAGAACCCTAAACTAATGAATTAAATTGTGAATTGGGTAAAACGATATAAGCGGACCAAGTAGAAAGAAAACTTTCAGTTAAATATTCAATCGGCGATTGCGTCTCGTCGGATCCGAAGGAAAGGCGCGAACTATTTCAGCTGGCCTTTTTTAAATTGAACCCTTCAGCTAACAGTATGAAACGACAAATGAGCCTGCCAACGATCATCGCAGCGCATGGTTTGTCCAAAGGTGAGGTTCAGGGTGGTATAGGTAAGGTAAAAGCCACCAAATCCATCGTCCTCTACGGCGACGGAATAAGAGTGCGATGCGGGATCAGAATGCCTCAATCAATCTCGGACAATTTTAAACAATTTCCGACTTATAGAAAAAGGGGGAAGTTGTCGCGTTACTTAGACCAGGATAACCAGGTACAAAGGCGAATTTTATCGTTTCAAAATTAGTAAAGACACTTAAGGCCTTACTGCCCCGGCTTTCAGCATGGCTTCCGTAAAGGGCTCACCACCACCAAAGCACTGAATGCCATAAACGCTTAGACTATCCGTGGCATTCACCAAATTGCCCCTGCAAGCGAGATGTTCTGCTATCACTGATTCCAACAAAAGCCTTGAAACGGTCATCTGCGTAGTGCTTTCTATCCATCATTCAGAGATTTTCATTGTAGCCGGTATTGAAGAGAGGGATTATTACCTGATTGGTCGATAGTCATCGGTTGAAGCTCAAGGTCATAACTCTAAAGGTCTTTCGAATCTTCCTTCTCCCACCACCAGACGGCATTAACTTTATCTCGTTTTTCGAGGGTAAACTGCTATCTCTCCGATTTTTCCCACTTCTTCACTGCACAACATTTACAACTACCGACAGCGACGTCGGTATTATTAG